AGCAACCACCTGATCAAATTCGTTGAATTTTTTTTTTATATGAATTCTATAGGTTCATAAAATTCAAATAAAAAAAATTCATTGAATTTGATCAGATGGTTACTTAGAAATCGCAAAATTACGTACAATCGATTGCGATCGGACAATCGAGCATGCAGCGATCAACAAATCGATCAAAAGTCGCATCAATTTGCAAACTGCGATAATTGAATGTAATTGTGTAATAATTTAATTGCAATTGAATTTTCGGTACGGAGGTTAAAATGGGGCTAAAGTTTCTATCATTATGTTATGCATTTTGTTTAATGGTGTCATTCTTAATTTTAGGTTCCGTTATGTACGCACATGCACATGTTACAAAACAATCGAGTCATTTCCAAGATAAGTATAAATGTACGTACGTACGTACGTGTGCATATTATATATGCATTGGGTCGATGAATGATGCTATGTTCAATAGGTAATTGATAATTACAACTTTTGTTATCGGTTATTAATCGACCTTGATTGTTCGCCACTAACGTTTATTAAATTTTAAATTCCCACAGGACTCCGTAAGTAAATAAAACTTTCATAACAGACATAACAGTGTACGCACTGTACATCATTATTATTACAAATTGTTAAAAAGTTATTGACAAAATGAGGTAATGTAACCATTGATTGTAATCATGGTTTCATAATACAAAAAATGTCGCACCTGTAACAATCTATGATTTATTAAAAATGAATTAAATTTTACCTAGAGTTAATGCTTAGATTCGATTTAATTACTTATATCTGGATTTGATCATTAGATCTGGATTTAATTGTAAATCAAGATTTAATAATTGATCCAGATATAAGTCTAATATCCGAATTTAAATATGCAGGCAAATTTGGTTTCAGATATGTAATTGTTAAATTAGATCTGGATTTAATAATTAAATCCGGGTTTATGATTAAATCCGGATATAAATGATTAAATCCGAATTAACTTTAATTATGCCGTTTAAAAAATAATTCAATTAATAAAATTTAAGGATATGCAGTCATAATTGCTGATTTACATAGTAAAAAAAATCCATTGTTTCGTATTTTTACACGACAATACCACACATTCTAAATCATGTTTAAATAATTTTTAAATTTGCACATATGCAGAAAAGTCACATGTAGATTACTGACTTTATGCATGTACTACAGAAGTTAAAAATTTTTAAAAATTGTTTTTTTAAAACAAAAAGTTTACCGCATTCTTTTCGTGAGGACTTTAAATTTAAACATGTTAGATTGTGAAGAAAGAACCTTTGTGCCCCTTTTCTCTAAAATTTATAAAAAAAGCCATAATCTCTCCTTATAACAGGATAAAACCATCTATTAATAAATATTATCTTTTTTTTTTAATGATTCTAGATATTGTTAAGAGATCCTTTCGACGTTAATATACTTTTAGCCTCACCTATTAGATTATTCATAATGATCGTGAAGCGCATTTTAAATTTTTTACCAATCCTACTAATTTTGATCATTTATAAGTCTGTCACAGCCAGCACTAACGAAGATTTCGTAACTCATTCTGTAAAACCGATCGCGAATAAAACATGGGTAAATTTGAGTGGAACAATTATTTCACCAATTGCCATTTTTGAACCGTCTACGCTTGAAGACCTTATAGATATTGTAAAACTAGCAAAGACAAATAATAAAACTATTCGATGCGCTGCCCAAGGGCATACAGAAAGTTCCCTATCTGTCACAGAAAACTATCTAGTACTGGTAATAAATTTAACTCAGATTACTATTCAAGAACACCCAAAATATGGTTGGACTGTTACTGCCGAAGCAGGTAAATGTTTATATATATATACAGTCAACCCTTCCTAAGTACTCTAAATGCTGATAGCTTGCATTTAGAGAACAATAATAAAATTATTTATTCATGATAAAGATAACTTATGAGTCATTGTATTATTTAATTAAAAATAGGTACATCATTATCTGATCTTGATAAAGCACTCAGAAATCATGATCCGCCATTGACTCTTGATTCTGAACCTATAACTGACAATGAGCGAGTATCTGGTATTATAGCAGTAGGAGCTCATGGTACAAAGACCAGTTCAGGTATTATGTCAGATCAACTCGTTTCGATGAAAATTGTTACTGCCTGTGGTGAAATAGTCGAATTTAGTGAAGAAATAAACAAATCAGAATTCTATGCCGCAAAACTCAATTTAGGTATTTACTAAGCTTTTACTTTTGATTATTCCTTTTCTTTCGCTAACTAACTTTATTATTGTTTAGGTTTACTTGGTATAATCTATTTGTTGACTTTTCGAGCACAACCGATGTACAATCTTCGTAGTGATATCGTCTACATTCCAATAAACGAATTGAATCCAAAATATGTCAAAAATCTTTTAGAATCATCTGATGCTATTAATATAGTTTATCTGCCATTCACTGGATTCAATCAGAGTGATCCGAATCCTCTTGATCCTAATAGAGATCTATTTAGGGTTGCTAGTTGGGTACGAACCGATGAATCTGTGAACTTCACACAACAGCATATCAATGTATTATATGAAGCTCAAAAACAGTATGCTATTCGCCAAGCTGAACTCCTAAATAGTCTCTTGCAAAATCCTGAGGCAACTCCGAATATTACTGGCGCACTGTGGAAAGAATCTATTAGCATTATTAATACTACTTATGTACTTCAAGTTCCTGATTCTATGCATTTTTCTGTTGATTTTAAAAACGTCAAGCGTCATTATATGGCTCTTGCATTCAAAGTTGATCCGGATTTTTCCAATGTCGTTGACGAATTGTTTTATTCAATTCAAGCAGTGAGTTTATCTAATATTTATTTCTAATATTCTATTAGTTTATTTCATTTCTCTTTATAATAATTTTATTATATTTGTAGCTATATGAATTTG